AACCCAGGGTAAGTCTCCATTACCAGAAGCCATACTCGCGGACACGAAAATATTGTTTCCTCTTACGTCGAGCACAGACACCCATTCAAGATTCTACGGCCAAAGAGAGGAATATCCTGTCCGCAGGTATTGCCTCTGCTACTTTCAGACCCAATCTGCGTTCTCCCTTGAAATTTACCGGAATCCGGAAGGATTGCCAGACACTACATTAGATCCACTTTTTAACCCAAAATTAAGAGAAAAAAGAGAAAAGTCAGCCGTAGAATATACTGCAACTCCAAGTATTTCTATAGAAAATTTAAAAAAACTGCTTGTGGTGGACTAATCCGTCGCACTCTCTCGACTACAATGGGCGGCTACTGATGCCAAATGGCACCAACGCCAAAAATAGATGTGGTAGTCGCGACCAGGACACCGAGTGTTCTCTATGGGAGAACTTTCAGCAGAAAATAAACTTGGGATTTTGGTGTCGTAATAGTAGAATAGTGCCAATTATGCCAACTACTGTTATTCCTTGGGCAGGAGGTTGTGTAGTGACAAGTGGCGCGCTTACCACTCGCGCGGTTGGGTTCGAATCCCGGGTCGACTCCCGCCCAGGCCAACCAAGCCTTCTACCCTCCAGGACGTAAATTAGTAGCAGATTAGTCTGGAATGGTGAGAACAAGAACACTTGTACATCGGCTGGCCCTCGCAAGTCATTGTATAGGCCACATCGCATTCAATAAGTACGATTCTGAATGGAAGTAGAATGCGTGCCGCATCCCACAAAGGGATTGATCAACGGCGAAGACTTTATCCTTTTTATTTCCTAGGTAATTGAATCTGCGCTATAAAAGTTCTATGGGTACGCTCTAACGGCAGTTTATCCCTACCCTCCCCCTCCGGCTAATATGTGGGGTTTGAATAGGATCCACTGCAAAACAAAAATACTGTCCTTTTTCTTCCGGTGGTGAGTCTTAAAAATAAAACTTATAAAGTAACTCAGTCTAGAGATAGACATCATTTTATTACTAAAGCATACAGTAGTTCATAAATCGATAGAATTACCTATAGCCAGGTCAGCAAAGACGGCTGGTTCCAGCAGTTCAATCGAGTTATTCGCTAGTCCAAGAGCTGATAACTCATGGAAGCGCAGCGAAGACGTCATCTTGAAGTCGTTCGAGGCGGTTTGAGACCAGATTCAGCTGAAAGTACCTTCATAAATTGTTCCATCACCCTCACTGCCCATTCATGATCTAATCGCGGCCAGATGAGGGCCAAACCCTCAATCGAACGCCATGTGTTTGTTCGTTGTCACTCAACACGGTGTGGTCAAGCGATTATGCAATGCCCTGTTATGAGGTTCGACGGACGTTCGGGCGACAAAATGCAAACATTTGCGCGAGGAGAGCTGCGACGTACTTCAACTGCATGTGCTTCACAACTACTTGTATAACCCCTGACCTTGTTGGTATTCATTACCGAATCTACCATCTCAAATGACCACCACCCCAGTCTAATAGAGGTGTCAGAATAATTTGCCACCCACCAACCTTCTCAATGACACATTTCGCGCTAATTACAGGTTTTCGCTGCTGGAGACTGGCAACTTGACCTGCACAGACTCCGTGTCCAATATTCTATGTAACACACCGCTTCAGCCGGGAATGAACAATGCCAGAATGTGATAAGAGCATAGGAAGGCTCACATCTTCCCAGAACGCAGCACGCAAAGAACAACGGCAAACAAATAAACTCGCGTGCCTGGGAATATACTTGTGAACTACTAGTGGCCGTCACTATTTAGGTGGAAGCTGGAGAGCCTTTTTCTGGCCCGGCCTTCTCCGAAAGATTGCCTTATGCGACTGAACTCTTACCGTATATTACCCCTTTTCAAAATCCAACGCAACTTCATCCGCAAACCAGCACACAAGTACAGTGAATTAAAAAGCGCTACTAAATTCGCCTGTAGAAAATCGAAAATCAGAAGTACAGCTACGGCCGTTTAGCACACACGAAAAGAAATGGGATCATACATAGCCTTCTCTGCGCCACCTGGGGGATTTAGGCCAGATTCTGAGCGAATATTTTTCCTGGGGTAGATTCGGCTGGGATTCCGTCCTCGAAGCGGTTTGACCTCTTTCGAGGACGAATTGCATTCCTTACATCCTCATCAACACAATACGTGTTGTGGGCAGAAACGGCATCAAGGAGAGCCAGTATCTTGCCACCGGGCAATGAGGCGCCCAAAACTCAGGGCGTTTTCGCGCCAAGCCGATGTCATTCTACTTGTGTTCGGGCAGAGGAAGCAGGGACAAACTATCCATGAGGACAAATTTCCGCCAACATCGGTGGTAATCGTGGTCTAGCGCCGGTGCCAGGAGTTTATGCAATAAACAAGAAAAAATCCTGCGGGCCCGGAAGGCAAAAATAACTGGCTATAAGCCAAACGAGTGTGACAGTATTCACAAGGGCAAACTACCCCGAAGGACAAAAATTTGGGCTGCACGTATCCCGGGGAGAGGTCTTGACAAAAATCTGGTCAAAACCACCGGTAATTTGAAACGCTTATTCAAGGGGCTGCGTTAAGTGTTCCCCTGTAAACAGTCATTACTGTCCAAATTCCCCAACAATTCCACCCCAACCAAATCACCCTGAAATGCCAGCAATCTGCAAGGACACCCAATATTCCCTTCACGGATCATAAGAAAGTGAATCCCACGCCCCATTCGACCCATTCATTTCACCCTTAAACGGCAACTGTTCACTATTCACGCGAAGTACATTGTTGACAGTGTGGCTCAAGGCCAAACCGCACTCGAACCCCACGTAATATATGCAATTGACACTATGCGCACCCCCGAAGTACACCGACACTTCACTGAGAAGACCATAAAGAATTCGCGGACATTCCCTCATTGATACGTACGTGTAAACAAGGAGAATATTCTGAAGAACTCACCGTTTGAAGGCGAGTAAAATTCATCAGTTCGAACGGCTTCAAATCCGCAATCATATTCTTTTCCAGGTGGAGATGTACCATTGTGGCCGTTGAATTCGGAAACAGTCGTGAAGGGAACAGCTTGATACGGTTACCCGATAGGTCAAGAAACTCCAGCATATTCGATACTGGAATAATTTATTTTGCATCATGACCGACTAGTTGCAGCCGGCATAAGGATTAGGGGGGAGGCATTCCGTTAGTACCTGTCAACCTGTCAGACCATTTTGTAGAGACTGGTGAATTTTTGCAAAACTAGGTAATTGTTAAGGCTTCATTCCCAAGCCATTTCCTCGTTGTTCTGTCGATGACGTAGCTGGAAGGGGTCACGCCGTATCACTGAGCCGCTGCGACCCTAGTCCCCAGCGCTCTTTGAGGCTGAGCCTTGGGGAAGGAAGGATTCACTACTTTGGTGAGGGGAAGAGAGTAGACGATCTTACTCGCCGCGATCGCCACCGCTTCAACCGGTGCCCCCCCCCACTCCAACTATATTAGCGCCCTTTTCTTGAGCTGAGCGGAATCCAGTTTGACAACATGCGAGAGTTTGAGCCAAAGGGATGAGGACTCTTGTCAACGTGAGGGCAAGGATTTTCGGAATTTGTGAACGAATTTGTGAAAATGGTTCAAAGTCGAACAGTTGAAGTCTTCAGGAGTTCAAGCCCTTAGGCCTCTGCCTCCTCCCCCCTCTAAGCCAAACAGCGCCACCAACTCTGTAATAAACTAACCACAAACAGTCGGTGAGTTCTCATCAATAGAATTGTAGGACATATTGAGTGAAACAAGGTGTTTAAGTACTGCAACTGAAGGTGGAATAACAGCGAGCCGGTTCGAAGCCAGATTGATGTGTATGAGGGTCTCTGAAAAAGAACACCTTCTGGTTAATTTGAGGACATCAGACCTTCAAAAATGGAAAAGAGCTGCTTCGAAAGAACCATTCATGCTCATCCTTTCAAAGTAGATAAATAATTGGACAAGATTGAGAGGTTACCTGGAAGATTTTGAACATCCTCCAAGAAATTATTATCCAGCTCAAGTTGCTGCAGTAGTGGGCATTTCAACAACGAGTCCTTTTCTATGGATGACAGCCGATTATTCGATAGCGAAAGCTGTCGGACCGATGGTAGCACATGGAGCTCTGATCCCAAACTTTCCAATCGATTGTGTGAAAAATCAACAATAATCAGCTGATTTGCTACACATGAAGCATCTGTGAACGGGAGACTTGAGATCCAATTCGATGATATGTTCAGGACCTAAAATTCGCCATTAATTAGCAGGGAGTTCATTATTGACAACCACAAAGGACATCATTTTAGTGTTGTCGTACATGATACCGAAAGCAGTTAGCTAATTAGCGACCGCGGTAGCGGGACCATCAAAGCAAAGTAATGCGGATAATTAGCGACGTTGTGAGGAGCATCATACTCGCATCAGCGGTCACCATACTGATGTTTACCGTTATGAATTCATCCCTAGAAGCCTCAAATCGCCAATCCTGTGTGTCAAACGATGCGAGCTAATGCTAATCTCCACCTGCTCCATTATCGACATGATCTCAATGCAACATCATGGCGAGAATTGTTCTGCTCTAAGGTGCTAGATCTACCAGGGCACGTCCTGCCAGTGGGGAAACTTCTGCAAAATAGGGCCCCACTCAAAATTTCCACCTGTGGTGCGACACCCCCCCCCCCTTCCATGTCTCCTAACCACTATCCTTGTGAATTCTTTCAACTTTTTGCCGCTTGCCGGAGTTATACGGCGCACTCGAAACGGGGAAAACCGAGTAAAGCCAGCAACCGAAAACATTCCTTTCAGAACAAATACGCTCCCTCCCCCCCCCTACTACATCGACCTTTCAGGGAATCCCCAATGTACGACGTGTCCTGAGGTTTCCTGACTCGGGTTTGACATGCAACCAAAGCTGG